AAATTTATTTTGAGTTAAAGTCAAAATAAACAAACAAAATGCGCATTTATTAAGTTTGATTTATGTAAACAAACTCCGGAACGTCATGTGACCATAATATTATTAAGTTACGTGACGTTACTAGCATGTAATCACGCTTAAAAAGTGGTGTTCGGAGACTTTTGGTGACCCTCTGTAAATTCAGATTTAATTTCTTTTTTGCTGCAAAACATTCATATTATAAATCTTTTCAAATCAATCTTTTATTTTATTTATTTATACATATAATTATATTTTTAATTCTTTTCTTTATCATATAATTTTACTTTTTTTAATATTGTTAATAATTCATTTTTTTTAAATTCAACTAATCATTATTTTTGATTATTATTATTTATAAAATTAGTTTTTTAATCAATTCAGAATTATCGGGATAAACATAACTATCCTCATCCAGTACATGTTTTTGTGATGCCTCATGCAGGGTGGCAGATATAGATGGTGGGATTATTGGCCGTTCTATTATACACGACTTGCTTCGAATGATTGTATCCCATTCGCTGGACGTGAATTCCGTATACGGACATGGAGAGGACAGAACAAATATCGATGATAGCGTCCTGAAATTTTAAATTCTGTGAGTATATATAGTCTTAAATTTCTTGCTTTAAACATTCAACAACACTCACAAAATGTCATATTGCGAATTCTTCCATGATAATCCTTCACGCTTTATCCTGTCAATCACGTTGCGTTGGTGCAGCCGGAATCTCCTAGTTACGTTGATGTCGTTAACTTTCCACTGGAATATATAAGTATCATCAGATATGTGGAAAGAAAAGAAATGAGAAACAATCCATCACAGACCTCAATCAAAGGCACCATATCTATAATTCTTGCAAGATCCTCCAGATCGACTTCGATCTGTTCAGGTTTCTCTTCCTCACTTTCGTGTTTCTCATCATCATCATCTCCAGATGCAGGAGTGCGCAAATCTTCAGATGTTTTAATAAACTGCATAATAAGAGAAAGAAAGAATTCTCGTAAAATTGTTTCACTTAAATAATAAGTTTTTTTTATCAAGAACGCTATATCCCATGATTACCTCCTTCTGGCCTTCCATACGATCTATATGATGGGCCTCTTCACATTCATCACGGTCACGAAGGTTGGGCGGGCGCATAAGAATGGGATGACCTTCCTCTGCGGGTCTTTTCCTTTCATTCTTTTGTAAATTACGTGTTAGAAACGTTTCAGTCGGTACTTGTAAAAGGAATAGACGAAAAAACTGAAACATCACTTGCACGTACCACAATATTGGCAGAGATTAAGTTTTCTGCGGCCGTTTGAAATACCTGGTTCGTGTACATGGTCGCTCCTTCGAAAACGCTTCGCAACGCCTGGATCTAATGTGATGGACAATAGTATCTATACATGGACTAACGTGTTACAAATATTTTCCTGGGAAGTTACCTTCGAATCTTCGAGTTGTTCTTTTTCGGATTTTTGGGCTTCGATCGTTTTCCAAAAGGCCTCGACATTTTCGAAATTATGATGTTTCTTTTTTACCAAAAGAAAATATAAAAGTCGTTAGAATTATTTCCATTTATAATGGCAAAACCACATTTAATGGATGGACTCTTCAAGGCAGAACAACGACCACGGAGATCATTGAAGGGCAACACGAAGCTTGCTCCACCAGCATAGCGATCACGAAGCATCCTCAAGGAGCTAACACGAAGTTTGGCTCCCCTAGCTATGGGTAGAAAACCTTAACTGCCCTTGAATATCCCTTTACCCACAACGATCACGAAGCATCATAAAGAGAATAACACGAAGCTTGTTCTCCGTAGTCATGGGTAGAAACATTGAATTTACAGTTCAATAAGAAAAGAAATACTTACATTAAAGACGTCGAGAAGACGTTTCGCATATACTTTAGCCTCATCCGATCCTTTCTCCAGCTGGTAGTCTAGAGACCTTCTCAAAATGAAGGCTTCGGTTTTAAACGATGCACTGAATCCTCCTCGACTCTGGCGGTGACTGTAAAAGTCTAGGAAGCGCCAGTTTTTAGGATCAACTTCGTAGAAGTAGGAGTCACACTTTGCATTTGAAATTTTGCTAAATCCTTTTGTACGAGACAAACACGATCTCAACTAGCATAGGGAAAGTTTGTTTTTATTGGTTAATGATCAACGTGTATCACAATATTATGATTGGCTAAATAAACAACACGTGAAATGATCAACGTGTGTCACAATATTATGATTGGCTAAATAAATAACACGTGATAAATACTACGGATCATTTTGAGATTTTTTGAGTTTTTACCTTGACTACTTAAATATGGTTCAAAAAAATCATGGCCCATACTCAATTCAAAATTGTAATAATCAAGTATCCTGTTTTCATCAATTTACCTCATTAGCATATGAGAAAGCTCAAAAATAAGGAACTTATAAAGCATATACATATTTAAGAATTGGACAACAATTGTATCATAATCATTATATGAGTATTGTTGAACCTAATTGTAACCGTAACCAAAAAGTTAGAAGTTTTCCTCTTTTTAGAGCTAAATCAAAAAAATATAACAAATTGTAAATATTATTTAAATATAACTAATTTTATAACATAATTGGTTGTTATTTGAAGTGATCGATAATTATAATAAAAAAAGTTACTGAGAATTCTTATCATGTAATCCAAAAATTATAAATTTTTTATAACTAATTTTTTCATTTATACATATAGAATCACAAAACTATTCATTTGCTGAACAGATTATTATGCTTACAAAGGTTTTATATAAGCAGCATAGTAATTTAAAGCTTGATATTACTTATTTTAAACAAATGATCAAAGTAGCAGATTTACATTTATAAGGTCTTTTTGATAAATTAGTAAAAGCATTGATTCCTAATAACAGATCTGCATATAATAAAGTTGAAACAAAAAAAACAATTGTGAGTTTATGCTATATCATGCTGCAATTGATACAATGAATATTATTGATTTTCTGCTTATTATATAACAGTTAATAATTTCAAACGTAAACTTGCAAATGAACATCCATTAAATATTAAAAATTTTCTTTCTGAACATGTAAATAAATTAAAAAAATTTTTTTTTATAAAAAAATTATTATTACAGTTTCTAGAAAAAGAATAATGATGGAAGATCACATCTATTTTAGGCTGCAATTTCATCATTTTTCAGATTTAAGCATTTGTTTATATATCCAAATCAGACATTGGAACCTGAATTAAAAAAGTAAGTTAAAAAAAATAAGATTTATTATTTGTTTTATTTTGATTTTCTTTCTGAAACTATGTCAAGCTCTTTAGAAATAAAAAAAAATTCTGTTAAGTTACTTTGGGATCAAAAAGTATGTAATGTAAAGAAAATTTCTAATCGATTGTGCATTCCTTTATGCACATGTGTATGATATATCAGTTTACTAAATAAAACTGACAAAATTTCTATTAGTCACTCTTATAATTGTCTAAGAAAATTGGTTTCAAATTAATGCCACTATATTGGAAAAATTCTGCAATATAATTATTTTACTATAGCAGACGAACTTAAAGTAAAATTGGAAGAAAAAGATCTCAATCTTAATATTAGTAAATGTATAATATGTTGTAAGCTTAATAATCTTAGATATATTTCTGTTCTTTTAAGAAAGGTTCATCTCTTGATCCAAAAAGTGAAGGATTTTTGTTTGTTTTAGGCATGTGATCATTCATGATACAACTGAAAAAAAGTTGTTTTTTTAATGAAATAATACTTCAGATATTTAAAAATACCATATGTGTATAGTCTTATAATACGTAACTAATTGCCTCTATAATAAAGCACCCATTCAAGATTCATATTTGAACAGTGATTAATGCTAAAGGAAAAATCAGTATTCATTTATTTACCAAAAATTTAGATTATTATTTGTATCAAAAAATCTTAGATGATTATCTGTATAACAATGTAGATGTATTATATAGATATAGTTAGGTTTTCTAATAAGATAATGATCTAAAATACATCTCACACGATATTCAAGGGAACTTGAAAAAACATCTTCTAGGACAAGTTCTTTCTTGACCTCATACAGCCTAAACTGTAATCCTATTGAAAATGTATGGCTGTATTAAAGAAAAAGGTAGAAAAAAAAATCAAGTATTTAGTAATAAAAAAAATATTATCTGCGATGTATTTCTTAATACAATTTGGCAAAAATAAGATGATCTTAATGACGTCATATTACTTCAATATATCAAGAATATATCAAATCAGATTAAAGCATATATCAATGCAGAAGGAGAACATACCAAATATTAATTAATAATATAAAAGTTATTATTAGTATTATTCTTATAAATAATAATAAAAAATATACATTAAAATAAAGTTTATATATACTATCGAAATATGTTTCCACCATTCTTTTTACTGAAACTGTAACTAAAATTTAATTACAATTAGAGTAATAATTTGTATATTTACAATTTAGATGATTATTATAATATACATGAAAAAAGAAGACCGAATACTATAATCTTATCTAATGCTAAAAATATGACTATTTGTATTTGTAAACAAGTTTTAGATTATGCACTAATACCTATTGTTTTTAATAATTTGTCAGTTCATAATCTAGTAAATATTGATGCAAGCAATATCTATTTCTGATTAATTCATGAATAACATGGAATATTTAATGTTACATATATTAATCGTAAAAAGTAATGGTTTATCAATAAACAATTAGCTATTGATACTTTTGATCAAATTGAACTGCTTATGATACATTATTATAATGATGCAATTGCTGAAAGAAAAGAAGAATATTCAATGAAGGGGATACAATTAGTTAGATTTCAAGAAAAAATTTATATTCTATGAATGATTATATAATAGTATTACAAATGATTTTAGATATTGATAAAGATACCAGTTATTTACATAATCATATTGCACTATTATTAGCAGATTGGCCTAGACAATTATTTGTCTGCAAAACAATAACAAACTTGAATAAGAGAGATTTATAGTATTCAATACCAGTTGAGATTAATTCATTTATTCTGTTTTAGGACCTCTTTATGTTTTCCTAATTAGTAAAGAACATGTATTAATTATATATTATACTTTTTTTTAAAAACTATTCCATTTCGTATTTGGTAAAAGAAAGGTATTAGCAAAGAAATCCAAACCTTGTAGAATTAATTTGCTTCTTGATTTAGTATATAATAGATGGTCTAAAATTAGAGATATTATCATAACAAAATTTGAAAATATTTGCAAAGATATTGAGTATCGTATGTTATTAACCTGTTGGATAATATAATTCTAGCAACATTAAATGTTATTTTATTCTTTTTCAATTTGGTTTATTCAGTTAATATATAGAAATAATTTTTCAAATTTAGACGTTTGCATTTTGATGAAAATGACATAATTACAACAAAGCATCATTAGCCTTTTTGTCAGATATTTTTTATTGACAAGATATGAACCATCCTTTTGCTGAAGCTATAAAGTTATTTTTAGTGAACTTTAATGATTACTATATTGAAAATATGCATAGTAAAATAAGAGCTCATACATCTGTAAATAGCAATATTGATAATATTATAAAACAAGCTTATATGATTAGTATCTTATTTGCCAATTACTTTTTATTTGTTTATTTTATATAATATATATTTGTAACATCACTTGATTCTCATGTAATTGTATTAGATAAACGAAACCATTGTGAACTATAGATATTTTTCAAAAAACTAAGGCATATCCTTACAAGCCATCATCATTAATTATTCTAGTAGAAAAAATATCATTGTTTTTATTAGATTATTTTCAAGAAATTTTTAAGAACCATGAAAAAAGTAAACTATATAAATCAAAAAAAAAGATATAATGTCAATTAGCTACCTTAAAAGAAACTGTTAATTCAAAATATCTTCTAACGGGATATAGTACTAATATAGTTCTATTATCAGATTCTTATGTTATTGTCACAAAAAACTTGATAATAGTGAAGTATTAATTTGTGAGCATAATTATCATTTTAAATGTTATCAAATGATAGAATATGGTTATCATCATTGTAAAAAATATTATAAATGTGAGATTTATAACAATGTAAACTCTTTTTTAGATTGATTAAAAATGGGACCAAATTTTCTCACTTTTGATAAACAAGATAAAACTTCGATAGAAGAAGAAAATAGAATAATTGAAAAAGTGAAAGTAAACAAAAGTCAGGAAATATATACAGCATTTTTAAATATACTTGGTTATATTAATATTTAGTGATATTATCTATAGTTTAATAAATAGAATTCTATTGTATTAATAAAAAATTTCATTTATAAAAGACAAAATTAATTAATTTACTTACTTTCATAATGTTTTAAAATTGAATACAAGCTTAGTTTGAATTTTGTCAGAAATAACTTCAAATTTGATCTATCGCTATAATTAAAGAAAACTTTTCATATAAAACTCTTAGAAATATCAGATATTATTGGATGTAATTAGTTTTAAGAAAAGAAACAGCTTTAGAGAACAAATTTGTAAAGTTTGGTTATGTGTTGTTTAATAGTATTTGTGGCTTGTTATATAGTCGATCATAATTTAATTGAGTTCTATTCTAAATCACATATAAATAATTGTGTAATAATATCATCAAATTTAGACTTTCTCTATACTATCTCAACTCACCTAGACTTTTATAGGTAATTTCAACACTTATCATTACAACTTTCTCTATGTAATCTTCAAAAAATATCACAAAATGTAGCTATGTAATGCATAGCTAATTATAATATTATAAAATATGTGTAATAGTATTATTATAATAAAACTATTATTAAAAAAACCTGATCTTTTTTTTTAAAAAAAAATTATCAAGAAAACTCTTTTTTAAACAAAATGAAAAATAATATTTTTTTCTAAATATATAAAACTTAAAATTAATATTTATCATTTAAAGTAATACAAGAATAAGTACAGTTTAATATTTAATTTATGTTACATTTGTTTTAAAATAAATAAATTTATTTATTTCTTTAATATTTGTAATAAATATATGGGTGTCATTTACAG